ACCGGTCCGCGTCAACTCCTTCGCTTGTCGCAGGTTGTGCTTTGTCATGGCATACTCGTCCGAAGGGGCATCCAGGAAGAGGTGAAGGACGAACGTTTCGTTGACAGTTAGTACTTTCTCGGTTAAGGACTTTGCGGTTTGGAGCATCTCATTTAGGGCGTTTTGGGGGATTTCACCTCAAGAGATCTTGGTCGACGTCAGGGACTTGAGGTCCTCTGACGGCTGTACAGATGATTCAGGGTCGTACATGGTCTTAAGCTCACGAAGAGCTCCCTGGGGCGTCTCTGCCCTCTTCATGATTTTCCGATCTTTTTCTTTCAAGGCGTGAGACAGGAAGTTCCACGCGTGGAATGCGAGCTCTACTTGCTCGCTCCGGTACTGCTGTGACAGCGAAAACTTGCTCTTTCCGCTGTTGACGGGGATCTCCAAGCTCCCGCTCTCTTCAAATTGTTCCAACAGGTTTGCGCCATATGCTGCCATGCGGAAATCATTTAGCCATTCGTTGAATTTTTTTTATTTCCCGCTGAACGGAGGAGAAGTGTACAGCACACTTTGGTACCCCGTCGCTGGGGTTGTGGCTCCGTATCCAAAGCCAACAGCAGCACCACCATCTCCCATGGCACTACTATAATCTTGGTTGTGAGCAGCGGCTACTCTCACCTCTTGGGAGACAAAGCCCCCTGCTTCGCCGCTGTTTCGCCCTGACGGGCCAGACTCTCGAAAAGGCCCGTCCTGCGCACTCCCGGTCTACGGTGTCCCTCCTTCGGCGTGCGTGGACTCCGCGGCGGCGCTCTCCCTAGCATCGCCGCGATCAGCGGCACCCTCCATGGTGCCAGCTGGCTCCTCCTTCTTGCTTGCCTTCATGGTATCTTCCACTAGCGACATTAGCTAGCTCATCTGATCCGTCAGCGAGCTAACTTGCGTCCTCAGAGCCACGAGCTCTTCTCTTGACCTCTTTCTGTCTTCCGCCGCAGAGTCGCTGGAGAAGTCACCCCCATCTTTGCGACCTGACGTATCTAATGAACTCTCCCTCGAGGAACTGACACTAGTGTGTTCGTATATGTCCTTTACTTGGAAGGGGAAGACGTTTTATCTCTTGTATTAGACACGCAAGGGGAGTAGGGGGAAGTGAAGCCCTATTTGGAGTTCGAGGGGTCCCCGCACATGCAACCATTTCAAGGTGTACATATGCCCCATCTGCGTGCCCTCTGTTATTGCCGGTAGATCTGACCAGTCAGTCCGTATCCAAACACACGAACAGAGCTAATCCTGAACACCTTGTACATTATTGTGCCCTGTCGCACTGGGCGAAATCGAGCCCTACTGGGCCCTGGCCCAGTGTAAGGCCGGGACAGCCCACCCTGTATAGGAAGCCAACCTTGTAGGCGTCGCCGTGGACACTTCGTTGTACTTTCTCTTTCGCCCTGTCGACCTGACCCTAACCCAACCCTACAGGCTCGTGACCCCGTACAAGAACACGTAGGCGGTGCCTGTACAACATGAAACCCCTACAGGGCTGAGCACTCACACCTTGTACAATACAGAAACCATGTACAGGGCGTACACAAGGTGAACACAGGGTAAGACGGCCTACAGGCCCCGCCCAGGATCTCGAAAATGGGTACGTGTGCACTCGTTGCACGCCTTTCTGCATTTCATCGGTTCTCGTCCACGAACCCCTTCGTGGTTCCATGATTTCGACATTATTTTACTGTAGGTTAGGAAACACGCTTATTATTATTGTAGTCTGTCAAGTGTATACTACATATATATATATGTTCTCCCTTTCCGACGCTGAGTCAGTCTACGACGGTGCTGCTGCTTGTCTACGGTAGACTCTGTTGAGGTCCTCCTCCTGGTACTGCTTTTCGTGTGATCCACGCTTACCAGATCACGCTAGACATTGTAACGATGACGATACTGTTGTACACCAGTGGTATCTTCATGGTCGTTGTCGTCGTCGTGGTTGTTGCGGTCTTGGCACTAGACTACAGCAGTATTACAGTAATTCACTGCATTGAACGTTACAACGAGAATCAGCAACCAAATAACATCAGCTGACAAAATAGGCTGCGCCAGTGTGAACATCCGCTCTTTATGTGCAAGGTGAGGTCATCATGCAACGAGCGAGTTCCAGCAAGGTATCGCGTGCAAGATGACCGTAGGTTAGACTGCTGCTCCTTGCTGCTCGTGCCACACAATGAGCACCCACACGGTCAAGGACGTCGGGGCTATTGGGCATGCGCATTCTAGTAGTGTAGGCGTCCCAACCCATAACACAGATAAATCGTGTTCTTCAGCACGATAAAAGCGGGACCAAGCCCACCGTTGACGACAAGAGACATACCCGCCAAACAAACGGACACACGAACATCACACGCCATAATACTCCACTCCAGTAGGTCCACCTCTCCTTGACACCGAACACAATCAAAAGCAGAATTTGACGGCACTTTAAGTATCGTGCTGTGTTAGGCATGTCGCGCTGCATACGAACGGCCTCCAGGTATGCAGCCTATAGCTACGTATTTCAATTTAAACCACTCGGGTACGACACAAAGTAATCTATACAAACGAAAAATATTGCAACTTGCTACCATCTACAGTCACCCCCGGCATCTCCTCCATACTGACGAAGGTGCTAATCCCCCCAACCATTTCCACGAAGGTAGGTCACGAATATTCATAAATGCCCACCATTCCCACCACCATAGACACAGTAGTAGTCATAGGCTCTCTTCGTGTCCGGGATCCAAGGACTCCATGGCTCTCAAATGTATGTGATGTCCGACACCTACAGTGTACAACAAACAGTATGATATCACGAGCACCCAGAAGCGGAAGAAGATCAGAGAGTCTTCCCGCACCAGCAACGGTGCCTAAACAAACGTCTCTTCGATTTGTCGTGGGCGACCACCCTCCTCACTGTCTCCTCCAACAAAGGGCGATTGCCATATCTAAAGCAAGCCGGGAAAAGCCCTGACAGCAGACACAAACGAAGAACAATGCCCAGCCCAGCCTCCTTGTACGGTACGCGTATCTCATTGGATGCTGCAGAGTGACGACGCTCCGCACGTAGCATTGACGAGGAGCATGTCCCGCGTCTGTCGCTTGTTGCAGTTCTCGCACCGATGCCACTGGGCAGACGCGGGGTTTTCTCCTGTGTGCGTACAGTAATATAGTGTGCAGGCGGGTGGCAAGGCCAGGTCAGGCCAGCACGGACACGGACACGGATACGACAGACCAAAAGGAAGAAACGCGTTGGGTACTACTTGAAGTATGTGGAAAACACCGTAGTATTGTGGCCACGGATTGGAGCCTCTGTACCCGGCAGACATGCAGGGACAGCTGGCGCTGGTTTAAAGTGATACAATAAGGCGGCGAGACAAGACGTGGGTCTACAGTAGCTCTGCAGTGCCCACAATCTCAAGGACTAACTGTAGGCACTTGCCAGAAACCAAATCAACAAGTAGTCTGCTATATTCCGCACTAACACTGATTCAAGGTAGTACAAGTTCCGAAAAAAATTGTGACGCTTGGCCAATAGCGGCTTCCGCGAGCAAAAGAAGACGGATAACCGTTGAGAAAGGTGTGAGGGGATGAATTTAACAATACTTTGTCTAATGTCGTCCTTACAGCAGTAGTCATCGCAGGTCGGTGGCACTGCTGTGTTCAGATTTCTGTTCCAGTCTGTTGCTTTCGAGTCAACCCAACCAACCTGGTTTGCGAACGAATTGCTGTCCGCACTGCATTTCCCGTAGAAGTAGGAAAGGTAGAGACGATCGGCGCCAAAACATGCAAGCAACAAAACACGCCCAGGAAGCACACGTGATGGAGAAGAAGAGAGGGAGGAGGGAGGGAGGAAGGGAGTAAACGACATAAGCAAACTAGACCTGCACCATTACCAAACGACACAATATTTTTGAAGTCAGGGCGGTCAAACCTAGCATTGCGGAGCCGCCAGGCATGACCCGAGATGCATGTGCAAGCCAGTCTTTTGAGCTCCGTCGGTTCACGTGACGTCGAGGGAGAGCACACATGTACATGTACAGAGATGAAAATAAAAACGCAGAGAAGAGAAGCCAAAATACAACTGACTTGTAGGTGCATGCGATGTGCCCGCTGCGAAGTGTAGCCGAGAAAAGTACTCTTGCAGGTTGCGAATGATATTGCTATCTAAGTTGAGTCAATGGTGGAATCAGCGAATGAATGTGGAACGGCTCAAGAGGCAAATCTCAGTTGACTCTGATTTGGTTTTGAACCCGATGCACCATGCAGAGCGACGGTGTAAGCTCCGAAAAAGCAAGGTGCGTAGGATCGTGGCTGCACAGCCAGGTTGTATCAGCTTGGGTTCATCGGAGAGCAAGGTATTCGTTGGTTGGTACGTTCCAACTTTTCAAAACGAGCGTGCGGAGTTCTACTTTCTACCGCTGATGGTTTTCAGTATTTCTTCACAGGGCGTTGTCTTCGGGAAATAGAGCCAGTGCCCCAACCTCATTGTCTACTCGTACGAAGCAGGACACTATCACGTGCCACAGGTACCTCGCGAACTTCGGGCATAAGTACCGAACAAGCCTCCTGCGTGGCCATCAGAAGGAAGCACGAGAAAAGAGTTGCTGCCGCCAGAGAAGGATGTGAGGAAGCACGAAACACGTCCAATCCAAATCTTACACCGAATGTATGGATATGTATTTCGTAGTACAGCAGTAGTAGGCCCTGTGATTTTACCGCATTATACCGGACACCAGCACTATACAAAGGACAGAACGACTTGGTATTCAGTGTACGGTATGCGAGCCGAAAACACCGGCACTATACCGGACCCGGTACTATTCGACCGGCACTATAAATGGCCCATTGTAAATGAGAACAACAGACAGTCTGTTTCTGGGTATGCACACGAGCGTAGCGTTCATACACAAGGACAGCAATGACTTACACCCTTGCAGCGTGCCATGTCTTGTCCGGGTACGGCCGCTTGCTGCTGGTAATAGGGTGGAGGCGCTTCGCCAGGATAGTTCTCGTTAACTGGAAGAGCGCTCATTGTTCCCACCCCTGACTGCTGCTGAGTCCGCTGCAGCTGTGCCCGCTGCTTCTGGTGTGTGAAGTCTGGTGCTGTGCAACAGGCGGTTGAAGTTCCGAACTCGTGTACCACGTTTTTCCACGCCTGCGACGTGGGAGGCCATCAGCAAGAGAATCACACAAGAAATAAGAGGGGTTGGGAAAGACCTACTGTAGACAATGAAGCACACCGCAATGCCCTGGCATTTGTCTCAGCCTCATGTGCCACGCCTTTAGCAGCAGCACCCCCGACAGACGCCAGAGCCCCGCACAAGGAGCGCAAAAGGAGAGCGGGCGTGCGGGAGGGTCCGAATAGTTGACCCATTTCTGCAACAACAATGTGCGCAACCGACCCCACGCCCCCGAACTCTTCTGCAGCTCACCGCACCTTTATGCGTTGTACTGTGTCTGGGAGTGTCCGCCTAGGGCTTCGGTAGCGGGGAAGGTGTGAAGGGCTGGACTGAACCCAACTCAACTGAACAGGGAGGGACTGAACTTTCTTTCGGTCTTTTTCGGAACGTTCATCATACTCGGGAACGTTCTCTGGTTCTCTTCGAGCATCTCAAATCTCAAATTCTCATTCTACACAGCCCTCGAAACGCGGTGCAACGTGAAGTGCATCAAAAGCGCATAATCAGGCAAGGATCCGATTGCACGGCAGAGGTACAGCAGTGTACGACGTTTTTGAGATCCGTACAGCGGTGACAGCATGTGTGTGACGGCAGCGCAGCAGGTCTTCATGGAAAGTGGGAGAGGGAGAAAATCCACGACTGCATGCCGCTGCTACAGGTTCATCGTCAATGCCGGCTCGCTCTATAGGATACAGCAGTACATCCTCACCAGGCATCGAGGTTCTGAGTTTAGAAAACATAAGGAAAACATGGCTCCAATCGTTGAGGGGAGGCTTTGAACCCTCGCATCTAAATAGACTGTGTCTCAAAAAATCGTTGCAGAACTGGCTGCTGTAAGCATATGTGTGCAGCCTACTGCTGTAGGGAGCTAGAGTAAACCAGGGTATTAACGAACACCCCCCCTTTAACGAACACTTTTTTCAAATGCACGTCCCTCGGCGCACAATGCGCGGAGCCCCCCAATTTTTTTTTTGAAATCTTCAGCTTTCCGTTAGCTTTCGTTTGAGCACCTCCGCGTGTCGATCGGGTCAAGCACTCCCGAGATACAGCACAGCCCTCACCCACACCCCTTATGTGGGGCATCTTTGCCCTTTTCGGGGTCCTGCTGCTAAGCATGGGACGTAAGAGAGTAGACCCAGAGCAGGCCCAGAAGGCTGTAGATGCGGTACGCAGCGGTGAGATGTCGCTCCGCGTTGCTGCGAGGACCTACGGGTTACCGCTAGCCTCGCTGCACGACCGTGTGAAGAACAAGGTGGCCATAGATGCGAGGGTTGGTCCCGGGACTGTCCTGAGCAAGGAGGAGGAAGATTTCGTAGAAGACGTCTTGATCTACGCCTCCCGACACTTCTTGCTGTTGGGTCGGAGGGAGCTGAGAGACGCTGTGCGCAACATCTGCACCGACCAGACGGGCGCAAGGTGCCCTGGGACCCAGACAAGGGCCCTGGGGACAGCTGGCTTGAGGGGTTTATGGCGAGACACCCGGGTTTGTCGGAGCGAGCCACCCACATCTACGAAGCAAACCGGATTAACGAAGACGGCGAGCCTCGCCTTCAAGCTTTCTACAAAGCATGGGCGGAGTACCTGGAGGAGACCAAGCTCCCGCCGGAACGCATCCTCAACACGGATGAGACAAGTGAGTTAGGGCAAGGGTTGAGGTGTCAGTAGGTGTCATTGGGTGTCAGCGGTGTCAGTATCGACTGCTGTGGGTTCGTAGGCGAAGTACCAGCAGCACTGCGATGTGTCACAACAACGCGGAGTTCTGCTGCTGC